TATAAACTGCAGAAGAACTGCCACGTTACGACCGGCTCCTTAAGGCGAGCGACGACTTTCGGTGAAAACGCGGGAAAAACCGGCGCGATGGCGACGCGTGACGAGCGACCCACGGCGAGGGCTTGACCGCACGTCGACAGGGTGCAAATTAACGAAGCGAAGGCGTGGAAAAATCAGCGGCAAGAAGCTTACGGGGCGGAACCCCACGGCGGACTACACGCCGCCGCGTGAGCCTCGAATAATTCCGCTCGCCGCGATACGTTTTTGCCCGGTCCCTGACATTTTCATTAAGAGCCGTCCTTTTGGAATCTTCATGGTTATTTATAGGATGATCAATGGCTCTCCGAGGCGCGCACCGATTCTTCTGCCGCGGCCGTGCCGAAAGAAACCACGGAGAGGCGGAGAGAGCAAGGGAGGCAACGACAGAGCGAGAGAGAGCTCGAGAGAGAGAGAGAGAGAGAGAGAGAGAGAGAGAAAGCGTCGGCTGTACCGTATTTAATTATTGCAAGCCCGATGCGTGTATATCGGGGACTTTAATGACCGCGTGCGCGTCGCGCGATGCGCCGCGCGAGTCACAATGACTGCGTCGCGCGCGGGGATTTCTTTATCGTTTCTAATCACAGCGTCTCTCGCCGGAGAGAATTACCGCCCGGAAGAAATGTCACGCCAATGCGAACGGAAAGAAACGTCGGCGCGTTGTGTACGAAGACACGCGTGCGCGCGTACGACGGAATAATCTGCGAAGTCTCAACGTGACTTACAAGTGTAAAGCACCGCGCGTACTCGCGAATGTTAACATCGCAATCTCTCCTTCTCCCTTCTCGCATCTTGGGTGCGTCCATTGTGTTTACCGATACCACCCGACGCGAGATATCCCCGACGCGGTATTATTATCGCGCTATCCAATTATCGATCTCTCGTCATTAATTAGCGACGTCGATTATTCGATGTTCGCCTCGGCGAGAAATCATCGCGGGTTCCGTTACGTAATCCTCTTCTTCCCGGGGCGGTCGCCGAGCGCGTGACGTCGGGGGATCGTACGAGAGCGTAATAATCAGCTTAAAATAACAAATGACGCGCAGGAGCGCGATCCGGTAACAATGATTACCGCTACCTGACTTTAATTAGACGGGACTGGCCGGGAGAGGGAGGGAGACGGCGAGAGAAGCAGATATCCTTCGGCGGTCGCGTCTCGCCTCTCAGATACCAGTCACGAGCGTTTACGTAAAGATCCCGACCGTGAGATCTCGGCGTGCTGGCACGCCGGCGAAACAATGCGCCGTTAATTCGCGAATTAATTTGCCATCGCGAACAGTTATACGACGACGGCCGGACGAGTGGACACGGTCGGTCGATCGGTCGGTCGCGGTCGACCGGCTCGGGTTTCGTCCGGCCGTTAATCGATCGCGTGAGAGTCACTCTGCGCGAGGACGACGACGACGACGACGACGACGAGCAAGATCAAGACGAAGAGGACGAGCAACGATCGGCGTACTCGGTCACTTAACGACGCGACGGGCGGAAGGAGAAAGGCCCCCCCCCCCCCTCCCCCCTCACCGTCGCGATCGTTGGAGCGCCCGAGCTTTTCCATGTCATTACCGCGCCGAACTGCCGACTTTGAGACGCATGTACATATTTAGTCTCGCCGGGGATTCCAATTAACTTCTTTCTGTCGCGCTCGCGCGTCTTATAAGAAAGCGTAGGACGGGTGTGCACACGTCACACGCACGCACGCACACACACATATGGCCGCGTCCACCGACGCGACGCCGCGACGGCTGTGAGAGCGCGGGCGAGAGCAAAGGCGCTGACCTTCGGAAGGTCATCCGTCTTGCGGCGATGTACGATATGCTTCCGTGTGCTGTCCGGTGGTAGCGCCGGGATCCCGTGACGCTCGCTAAGAAATACTGACCCCCGCTGCCGGCGGCCGGCGAATTAAATCGTCGTTACCTAACGAAGCGCGACGGACGAGTCGATAGGGATAATTAGCCGGCGGCGATTTAAAAAGATAGAGACAGAGAGAGAGAGAGAGAGAGAGAGAGAGAAAAGTCGCGTTAATCACGCGTAAGGCCGCGCGTTAGTTCTTCCGTAAATCCGCACCGGCGATCCGTATCGCTCGGCTGCGACGTTGAACTCTTTCGAGGAAAATCCGCGACGCGCTCGTTCCAACGGGACATTTTCAACATTTCTTTTTCTCCTTCTCTCTCTCTCTCTCTCTCTCTCTCTCTCTCTCCCTCTTTCTCTCTCTCTTCCGACGTATCTCGAGTCACGCAGCCGACGTCCAACGCGAGAGAAGTTGGACATTATTCAGGAAATTCAACTTTCCCGAGACACGTTCGAGAAAACGCGCTCGCGACGCGGCAACACTGACTACATCAGCTTCCTCTATCTGGAAATCGCGGCCCAGCGACCAACGGAAATCACCGACGAGAGATCATCGCCGACGCATCGCCTATGCGTAACGTCGCGTCGCTTTTTCCCTTCGTGTCTCTCCCTCTCTCCCTCCTTCTTCCCTTCGTCCAACGTCGGCGCAGGAGAAAATGACAGTCACGCGTCGGCCGTAAATGCAAGGCGCATCGCGCGGCGAGGAGACGGCACGCAATCGCGATATCGCCCGATGAAATTCAAAACGCATCCGCCGCAGGTATCTCTGCGCGCGTAGTCGCGCGGATATTCCCTAGCGACCCTTGACCCCCGCCTGCCGGCTCGGAGCGAAAAGGTATTAATGGCGCTCTCCGTGGGGAAGACAATGAGGCGCTTCGTGCCTCGCCGCTGTAATCAGCGTTCCTCGAGTCAATAATCATTCCACGCCACGGTGGGACGACAATTACGAAGACAATGACACTCGCGCGTTCGCGCGACGCGGCTCTCCTCTAAACACAGACATTAATATCGTCGCGTTCCGGGCTAATTATCGAACGCCGGAGCGCGTGCGGCTAGGCGTGCGAAAGTGCGCGCTAACGAAGCGCAAAGAGCTCCTTGGAAAGGCGAACCGTCTTTGCAATTGACTTTTCGGACATGTAAAGACATGTTCGACACTGGAGAAAATTCTCTATACTCTGCTTGCACGAAAAGTCACTCGAAATTGCAGTTGGGAGAGAGATTCTCCGGGAAACAGACATTTTCTTTTTCTACTTTCATTCAGACATCGGTTAAAGGTGTAAAATGCAGGATAATACATTTTTTGCGGCTCTGCTCCTCAATCGCTCTTCATCGCTCTTTCGTAGCTTCGGTGTTGAAACGCGGTTGTGTCGGTTGAAATCAGGGAAAAGTTGAAAAAAAAAAACATTGGAATAACGCAAGGCTGCGAGGAGAAAAATATGAAGAGAGATTCGAAGAGTTTTGAGAACGTCAGAGGGAGAAACGAATAATCTGAAAATGCCGCCCGCTCGTTCGGTATTCCGGATTCAAGTTTATCGCGTCGTGTCGATCTCTGCAGGCGCGCTTTGCGCCCGCGCCGCCGCGCGGTCAGGAAAAAAGCGGTTAATAATAAATATTTCTCACGTAGGCGAGATAAGCGATCTCTCTCGCCGGGCTAGCGAGGCGGCCAGGCCACGTAGGCCGCGCGACGGCCTCTCTCACTCACGGCGGGATCTCTCACTCACTATCGGAGACATACCTTCCTCCGCGAGGTTAACTGGTACCATTTTGACATCGCGCGCTCATGCCGGGCCCGCTCATGACCAGACGACACAATCCGGCGAGGAACTGCTCCCTCCGACGAATCGCGACGTAGTTCCGAACGAGCGACACACTTATCCGCGCGAGTACAGTTACGAAAACCGAGCGACGAGGAAACCGAGTTTTGCATCTTCGATTCGGGACGGCCGATCATTGTTACGTAACTCGCGCGCCGCGTAGCGGTCCCTCGGCGGAGATTCGCGGAAAGTGGCACGCCATCTGCTCCCGGCGAGAGAACATATGGCGAACTTTGAGAGGGAGTGAGAGAGAGAGAGAGAGAGAGGGAGTGAGAGAGAGAGAGAGAGAGAGAGAGAGAGCGTATGAGTGGCCCGACGCGAATCCTGTCGCGATAGCTATAATACCTCGATATTAACTGTTACGGGTCCGTGTGCTTTGTAATTGCCGATCGTGTTGGACGTCTGGCCGGCAACGCGACGGACGCGACGGACGCGAGGGACGACGCGATCCTGAGACGGTGCCGGTAGACGGCAAACGTGTCGCGTCACCGAGGGAACCTGAGAAGTCGCGCGCGGCCATGGATCCTGGCATTCCAGTTTCCTCGGCTCCGCGGACGTGTACTTGGCGAGGATTACGCACCGTTACCGCGCGGTCACGGGTCTCTCGAATTCAACGTGAAATTTCAAATTGCCGGCTACCAACGCGCTATAATCGCGATTACAGCGTGGCGCGCGCGGCGCGCCGACCGCTAATTACGCGGACAAATGTTCTGGCCGTTCTACCCGTCGTTGTCGATCGACGACGACCCGGATAGAGATCTCGAGGCCGAGAGAAAAATCGAAAGGAGAGATTCGAAGGGAACGGCTAAGTGAGGCGCAGTGTCGGACGCCAGTGCTTACCGCGCTACATTTACTTTCCGCCACACCGGAAACACACATTCGTTCATCTCATGAAAGAGCTGCATCTGAAAGTGCAGGAGGACTAAACGGATCGAGATGAGCGGATTCTCAAGGGCGGACGCGGATCACGGAGATCGCGCTTGCCCCGGCGCAGGAGTTTCAGCCCGTACCTTCGAACAGGACGCGCGCGACCTCGACAGCGCGGGTTTCACCGATCGGGAATTCGCGGGCAGCCGCGGAAACGGAAGTTCCGCAGCGGCGGCGGCGGCGGCGGCGGCGGCGGGAGAGTCGCGCGGTGACGGGAGGCAGGTAGAAAGGAAAGAGACACACGGCGAGTCACCGGCGACTCCGTCCGAGAGATTCCCGTCGAGAGCACGCGCGAGCCTGCGCGATACAGTTTATTTGAACTGCGGGGATCCCGAAGTGGGGAGACACGACTCGGGGAGTTAGCGCTCGACCGCGTCTCCCGTGGTTTGCGCGCTTTAGTCGCGCGATCTCGTCCGGAGTGTCGGGGCGCTCCTTCGTCGCGCTCTCGCACCTGCGTCTCGATCGATCGATCGATCGATCGGTCGGTCGGTCGGTCGGTCGGCCGACGGAGTCGATCGACCGTGCCGCTCTGCGCCGCACGACGACGCCTCCGCGCGGCCACGAGTGCTCGCACGAGCCGCGCCGAAAGCTGACTTTCGCCGACGAGTCGACGATCGCGAGAAAATCGGCACCGCTTTCTTTTTTCTCTTCGCTGTATTTACGGCAGAGTTTGAACTTGCTTGCTCGCGCGCGCGCGCGCGCTCCTCGTTGTCGACATCGTTGTCCTCGCGAGAGGACGCGCCTTCCTTCCTTCCTTCCTTCCTTCCTTCCTTCCTTCCTTCGCGTCGACACGTGGGACGTCGATCTCGGTTTATCGCACGCGCGAGTGAGACGGATAGCTTCGTAAGCTCGAATCGATCCGTAGTCGCGTGTGTGGATGGATACGACGATCAGACGGATCAGTTTTGGACGATGCACGAGGTGAGTGACAAGAGCGATGTCGTGGACTCGGGCTTGAGGAACTGCTCGATTAGTCGCGTTCGAGAAATCGCGAGGATGACAAGCGTTCGAGCACGCTAAAATGGAGCATCCAGCGACGTCCCAGGTGGTTCTCTCGGACGATAATCGTTTTCTCTTGCTTTCGCCTGCGTGCCCGGATATGGAATAACGAAATAATTGCTAATCAACGGAGGTAATCAATGCGGGTGTGCACGCAATTTTGACAGTCGGGGCGTCGCCGCCCTCTGTAATCTCTCTCTCTTTCTCTCTCTCTCTCTCTCTCTCTCTCTCTCTCTCTCTCTCTGTCTATCCGAGTTTCTCTGTCTTCAAGGTGGAAATTAGGATTCTGGGTCCCGTCAAGTGCGATTTCGGCAACGCTTTGTTGGCGCGCGCGCGCGCGAAGTTACAAATCGATAATTAGCGGCGATTCTCGATATCGCGGCCGACCGATTAGCTTTCACTGCGCCGAGAGCGATTCATCGCGGTTCCGTGTCGATTTATGCTCAAATTACAGAACCCCGTTTAAAAGAACGCCTCTTTGTTCCCGGTACTCTTAATTAATTAATCATCATACCGTTAGAAAGTTGCATGAGCGGGCGCGCACGCGCGCTGCAGAAACTTTCATAAGCTCGATTAAAATCGCGGCGCGGATTACGCGTTCGCCGTGCCGTGCCGCGCCGCGCCGGCACGGATAGGTCTTCTCTCTGTGCATAGGAAAAATTACGTCAGGGACGCCTGCAAGAACCGCCGCGTGGAAAACGTAAAACATTTCCAAGCTTAGAATGCTTCGCTAATGGGCGAATTGCTAAATCCCCGCGCACTTTCACTTCGCACGATCTATTATGCACTCGAATGCGGCGCAACGCGCCGCGGCATCGCGCTTTTTAGCTTTGACTCCGCCGCGCGTGAATGCGACTTAATTACCCGATATCGCGGCGAACGACTCCCCCCCTCCGTCCCTCCCACACCCCTCGTCGGTTTTATACGCGACGTGACGAACGCGCACTTTTCGACGGCTGTCGCGACGTGACGAATGTCATCCTTGTGAATGCGCGAGCACAATGGCGCGAAACCTTCGGACGACGAAATCGAAAAGTCCCGAGAAAGGAAGCCGCCCGTTTCATCACACACACACACACACGCACACACACACACACACACACACACACGCGCATTCACACGCGCGCGCGCGCGCACACACACACACACGCACACACACACACACACACACACACACACACACACACACACACACACACACACACACACACACACACACACACACGCATGCACACACGCACACACACACACACACACACACACACACGTATACACACACATATATACATACACACACGCGAGAGTCCCTTTGAGAGTTCGGTCGAGACGTATAATTGTTCCTTTGCGAGTGTCTCTCCAGAACTCGGAGCGAGGGATGCAAGGTTGTCGGCACGGGGGGAGGAAGAGGTGAACGCGAGGGAGGAAGGAACGCGATTTCTGAAGAAGATCGTGGCGCATACGCGCGGAATAGCAAGTGAGCGGTTCGCTCGCGCGAGGTGCATACTAAAGGTGGTCGACGGACCTCCGTAGAGCAAACACGCGACCGTGAACGCGCCTTCTCTCTCTCTTTCTCCCTCTCTCAGGGGGCAGAAACACAAGAGGGCTGAGAGGGAGAGGGAGAAGGGAAACACGAAAAAACGCGCATCTCTATTGAGACACGCGCACGCATAGTCGACGTAATAATTCGCGATACCTTCGTCACGGTCGCTTTAGTCACGGCTAATTAAAAGCCCATTACATGGCGATTACAGAAATCTCGCGGGTGGAGACATTCTGTCGCGTATATACGACGAGAGAGTCGCGGTGTCCCCAGCGGGTCCGACAGACCAAGAAAAATCCTACCGCCTTCTCCTTTCTCTCGCTCTCTCGCTCCGGCCATATTCGCGCACATGACCGCGGAACCGCCGGCTAATGCCGGGGGGAGTCGGCGCGCATCATATCTTACATATGTGGAATATTAATTCTCGTCGTTCGTGCGCGATGTGCGCAGTATCGCCGCGAACTACGCGCCGCGAGTAGTGGAATGTCGCAGGTGCAAGTCATCCAAGAAAGTGCATTATGGGCAGCGCGCGCGCGCACGACGACGGACGGGGCGGTAAATAAATTACGCTCGACGACGCGGACGTCGCTCTCTCGCCGGTAACAGACACAAATCATCGTCCCTAATTACGTGAAAATCCCCGGGAACATTCCGTGTGTATAACGTCGCGCGTAGGGAAATCACAGGGGGGGTGGGGGTGGGAGAAGAAGGCGAATCGGATCGGGATGAATTGGTTTCGCGGAGAAAGTGCGTCGAGTCCAACGTTCCAGAAGCGCGGAAAAGTAAAATCGCTGTCGGAGCCGAGAAAAATCGCCCGCGTCTCGAATCAGACTCGAAGAGCGGCGGGAAGAAAGGAACGGAAGAGAGAACGTCGTCTCTCTCTCTCTCTCTCTCTCTCTCTCTCTCTCTCTCTCTCGGAGTCAATTAGTCGAGTCCTCGTCGTCGTCGCGTTTCGCAAGCGATCATTCGTCGCCGCCTCGTGTGTACGTCTTTCCTGTACATCGTAGTCTCCCCTCGTCACTTGCCACCGCGACTCGCCGTATTTCTCCTGTCGCGGCATCAAAGACACGACACAGACGCGACACATTTCGCAACAAGTGACAGAGAGCGAGGCCGCGTCGCCGCCATTCCGCCCACGTCGCCCTGCGACACAGAGAGCCCGGCCCGGCCGGCCGGCGCGGCGCGGCGCTCGTCTGAAAGACAAACACCGGTGGCGACACACCGGTACGCCACGGACAGATAATCGTCGTCATAAATTCATCATCATCATCACCAGCGTCATCGCCGAGGCGCCCCGAGCGTAATCACTCATTAGTCCGTGCGCGCTCCGTCGCCGGCGGCGGATCTCACTGTCAAGGCACTACCGTGCCTCGCGGGTGGAATGACGAATTCCATCGAGGGGTGCGCGGGCGTAGGCCGCGCGAGGCACCCGAGGCACGACGACGACGATGATGACGAGGAGAGGAAGAGCTGACGAGGCAGGGAGGGAGATGGAGAGGAGCGCGCGCACTCCGCGCGCTCCGACGTCGCCGGATGCATACCATTACGCGAGCAGGAAACGCGCGCAGCTGGTCACGCGTGCTATCGCGAGAATTTGCCGCTCGACTCGTCGAGCGATTACGCGCTACACCGAGCCCTTATTTGCAACTTGTTCGTCGCGCGGATCGCGAACTGCGTCTGGGAGCGTCTATTACGGGAGCGGGAATCGCACTCCGGGACAGCGCCCGATTTTAATATCCTTATTAACACACTCGTCTCCGCGGTGGTTATCAGTGGTCGTTACATGTTACCGAGTCTCATTAAGTTGCATATAAGGTGTAATCAATTGATTGATCAGTCCAAGCGGTCGACCAATTGATTTACCCGCTGCGCAGCTGGTTTTGCTCCAATTCAATTAATTCCGCTCGGCATTCAGCGTGCTGAGAAAAAGGAGAAAAACTTCCCCCTAGACTAAAGGGGGGAATCTGTCAAGGGGGATATAAGATGGATCTTTGACGTCGCCTGAAGCAGCGCAAAGATCCAACACGCAGAGCTGTTACCTCACGCGACGACCATTTCTTTTCGCGCGCGCGCGCGCGCGTGCGGATGTTCTTGAGAGCGGAAAAATCGATGCGGCATCGTGAGGCGGCGTGAATCAGCGCCGAGGACCAGGCGATCGATCGCGCAGGAAGTGTGTGCGGGCTACCGTGAACGAGCAACGAAGAGTAGGTAACCGCGGCGCGATGTCGTCGAGTGGTGAATTTTCGACGTTGTCGAGCGGCGAGGCCACGGGAACCGGCGAGGACTCGTTGCCGAGCTCGAGGGAGGCGACCGCCGAGGCCGCGGGTTCCGCCGGCGGCTTCATGCCGCTGCGCGAGTTCCTGGACAGATTCTCACTGCCGAGGGTGGTCAGGGTCGAAGGTGCCGGCGGTAGGCCGATATTGCTGTACAAGCAACAGCAGAGATCGCTCCGAGTCACGGCCACGCTGCTCATGCATCGTTACCGTCACGACGTCAAAGTGGGGCCGGAAATAGTTATCCCGGAAGGCTATCCCGGTGAGTACAACTTCTGATACCTTACCGTACCATTCGCGCCGGTCTCTCTCGAGCCGAGATCTCGTACGCGAGTTTGACGAGGGGGAGAGAGAGAGAGAGAGAGAGAGAGAGAGAGAGAGAGGCACTTTAGCGTGTCTGTTTCTCCCTCGCTTCGCTTGCCGCGCGCGGTGAAAACCGCGCGTGAATTCGTCGTCCGTTTTCACTGAAACCGAGAAATCTCGATCGTGGCCGAGAAAGTGCGATTCATTATTCGCGTTGACGCTGCGAGATTCTCTGCCGCAAGGCAGGCAAAGCTCACTCGGTCTAATCGCAAAGATGCAATTATGACTCCTTGTTTTCTCTTTTCGAAATACGCACGGCGATGTGAAAGAGATAACGAGTCCTCGTGCGAGCGCGAGCGCGAGCGCGAAAAGTGCTCGATCGTAATGAACGGCGAAGACGCTCGGCCGCACGGAATGAAAACGCTCGTCGCATTCCGGCCTTTGACTCGGCGTATCGATCACGTCGTGCGCGATGATCGATTGTGCTCGCGGAATCGTATCGGAAAGCCGATCAGGATTTAAAACGGTTGCGGCGCGTTGCGTAAGAGCGCGCTCGCGTATGCGCGTTGCGAGCGATCTATCGGCTATCGGAGAGGGATTTTTCGTGGCGGCCATACGAAGGATCTGACCTCTCCTTCGAGAACGCCACCCGGCGATCTCGAAAAGTCTCTCTTCATTTATCACGAGGCCGCAATTTATCCGGGCCCGCTTCGTTTCCACGGCGGCTTCGGTCGAATCGAGGGAACACGGCGAATCAGCCGCGGTTCGAGAACCGCCTATTTTCCACATTATTTACATTGCGGCTCTTTCTCTCTCTCTCTCTCTCTCTCTCTCTCTCTCTCTCTTTCTGAAGCGAACATCGCCTTACGACATCGTCGAGATTTTCTCGAGGATCGAGGAGGCGAAGTGCACAGGCGCGAGTGCGCGTTTATTTATCCATGTCTAGCGGCGTATATATGTAACCGGGTTGTAGTAGGCACAGCGCGGTGATTTAACCCACGTCCGCAGAAAGAAAGTAACAGATGCTTGTGGGTGGCAGTGGCGGTTTAACAATGAAACCGAGTTTGCATTGGCAGACAGGGAATGGCGAGCTTGATCAACGGTGATGTTCTAACCGCGACTCGACTCGTCAAATCTGCACGCTTAAGAGAGACAGAGAGAGAGAGAGAGAGAGAGAGAGAGAGAGAGAGAGAGAGAGAGAGAGAAAGAGAAAGAGACGGAGAGATGACAACGAGAGACACGCAAGAATCTCTCCTAACGATACACCGATACTCCGCAGTTATACCGACGAACCAACAAGATCGGGCTAACTGATCGGATCAACTGAAAATCCCGCCGCGTAAATGTCTTCTAATTCGCCTCGACGACCGATTAGCTTTGTCCTTTCTCTCTCTTTTTCTCTCTCTCTCTCTCTCTCTCTCTCTCTCTCCCCGACACGTAATCGCCTTCGCTTGAAATCCGCTAATATCGGCTTCGTGCATCGGCCAGAGAATCGAACGTGTTACTTTCGACGCGCAAAGCACCGCGACGTTGTAGCAAGGACCATTCGTCAGGTATTACTCAACTCGCAAGAGTACGGCCTCTCGCGTAATCTGCATAGAAACGTTTCAATTTTCTCGCCGCAGCCTGTTCACACGTACATACACTGACATGCGCCGTCGTCGTCGTCGTCGTCGTCGTCGTCGTCGTCGTTGTAGCGTCTGCTACATCGGCAATTGCGATTTCTCACGGCCGTAATCGCGTTCGCGAGAGCGTTAGCGTGCTGCCTCGGCGCCGGTTCGTAGCTCTCGCTAGAGCAAGAAGCACGAACGAACGAGCGAGCGAGCGAGCGAGCGAGCGAGCGAGCGAGTGAGCGAGCGTCGGCCTATAAATAGTGAAGGAAAGTATGAGGTAACGCGGTAGAGCGTGCCGCGAATTATAATTTAATATCGTCCCGGCTCGTAATACTTCTACGTACGTACTCGCGAGGATGTGTACGCGCCGCTCGTCGATGGAAACGCCGAGCGCACGAAGCTCGCGATGATTCCTCGACGCGCGCGCGCCGGACGAATAGACAGCGACGGACAGATGAACGGACGGACAGCCGAGGGAGATAAGAGGCAAGGAAAATCCAATCTCGAAAAGAGAAAGGGAGACGAAGGAAAAGCGTGCGCGCGCGAGAGAGAGAGAGAAAGAGAGAGAGAGAGAGAGAGGGAGAGAGAGAGAACGAGAGGGAGGGAGGGAGGGAGGGACGAGCGTACTATTATTCAGTTAGGTCGGGCGCGGGTAGGTAGGTGGTCAGTGACATACGGCCGTGAATAATACCTCGTGTTCGTATTAGCATAACGCCTGACGATACTTTTTTCAATGAAACTCGTGAATTACAAATGCAAGGGGAGGCCGGGGCCCGGCGTGGGACGAAATTACGTCGACGAGCGCGCGACTGGGAGAGACAGGGAGGAAGGGAGACCGCGTGGAGAAACCGGCGAAAATTGAAATATCGCCTCGCGAGAGCGAGCTCGCTGTAATAAGCGGGCGGGTGGACGGGCGGACGGAAAAGTGGAATAATAAATGCCGGAGGAGGCAGCAAGAGCGTGCGTCGCTGCAAAATTGTCCGTCGTTATCGTCGCGATATTCATTAACCCATCGTCCGTCGCAGCTGAAGATTCTCGCAGTCTCACTCTCTCTCTCTCTCTCTCTCTCTCTCTCCTCCGCAAGCTTCGAACGTAAAGTGAATTCTTCTTTTAACGAAAACTAATTCCCCCGCGAGTCGCGAATAATTGTCGGGATAAATCATGATCGTTATCTCGTCGATAGTGGCAATTTTAAGAGGGAAAATTTCGATCTCTTTCATCTTCGATTATCGTTTTCTTCTTTCCGTCCAAACACTCGCGTCTCAACCCTCGCAAGCTGCTCTCTCTCTCTCTCTCTCTCTCTCTCTCTCTCTCTCACACACGTGTTCAGTTACAATCGCCCGCTAACGAAGTATGCTTCCCCCCTCTCCCTGTTTTCCCCTTTAATCCCGATGCAACCCCGTGTTGCACGCACCAACGCGATCTCGCGATTCATGTCAAGGCGTTGGTCAATATCCGCCGGAGAGGATTAATCGCCGGGTGACCATGAATGCGCGTGCACGCGGATTACACGCAAGTATAATCGGTCGCACGGCGACGATTTTTCTCGAATCGCTAAATATACAGGTTGAGAGCTTGCAACTTCCACAAGGCGCTCGCTCCGTGTTCGCCAGCTGTAGGTTTTTCTCTCTTTCTCGCTTTCTCGCTCTCTCTCTCTCTCTCTCTCTCTCTCTCTCTCTCTCTCTCTCTCTCTCTCTCTCGCCCCGCATCGAAGAAAAAGACTTAATTTATGGCCGTTTTATTATTTATCGGAACGACTGCAGCGCTTTATCTGTCGTCTGCATCGCGAGAATATTTATTCTCGGCGGTACACTCGCGTACTACACCGCGCATGGCAACGAGGTTGCAATTTGATCGACGCGTTTCCACCGTTCGGTCCGATACGCATCGACACGCGTTTGGTCTTTTCCACGAGTTTCGCTCGAACACACTGCACGTCGTAACTGCGACGTCGTCGCCGCCGCCGCCGCCGCCACTCGCGCGTATGATCGCATCGCATCGCATTGCATCGTGAGGAACTAATCCCGCTGCCGCCGCCACTGCCGATCGATAATGAATGTTTACGAATGGGAGAAGGTGCCAGTTGGGTGTAAGGCGGTGGTGCGGCTGGGAGCCGAAGGATTATACGTCTAATCTCGCGCCACCGGCTTTAACTTCAGCTACGCCTCCTTCATTCGTCGAGGCATCGTCCTGTTATTATTGAAATTTACACAAGCCCGATAGGAAGAGGAAGAGGGCAGGCAGAGGGAGAGAGAGATGGATAGATAGATAGAGCGAGAGAGAGAGAGAGAGAGAGAGAGAGAGAGAGAGAGTGAGATGGAGAGTGCCGTAATGTTGCCGCAACATCTGGTATTACTTGGCGCAACTTTATTAGCGCTTTTTGAGGAGAGGAGTTCCGCGGAGAGCCGCGCCGCGCCACGCCACGCCACGACTGGCCCCTTTGACCCTTCGCTCAGGATCGTTTTCTTTCACGTTGTGTCGGATCGAGTTGTCTATCAGCTGCTCCTAGAGCCGACTTTGTGCGCTCGGGTCCGTCCGAGTCCGTCGCTCGACTCGGAAAAAGGAAAAGGGACGTATCTTTATAGCCCCGCAGATACGCCGTGAAAGCGCGCTCGTGACTCCGCCGAGACGTGGGAGTGCCGATTTATGAAAAGAGAAGCGGAGGAAGAAAGAGAGAGAGAGAGAGAGAGAGAGAGAAAAGGAGAAATAGAGCAAGATGCCGAACGCCGGCTATGTAGCATCGGTTCCGGTGGTGATTCGAACGAAATTATACGACGATTTTATCGCTGTCGAACTTATAATACGATCTCGTAACTTTCCTGAGAGAGAGAGAGAGAGAGAGAGAGAGAGAGAGAGAGTGAGAGAGAGAGAGGGGGAGGGAGACGCGATTCGATTTTCCCTTTCTCTCGACCGCCCGGAGCCCCGAAGCGGCGCGAGATCGCCTCGTCGAACAATTCTCCATACTTTGATACGTTTGCCTCCATTAACTTTAATCCAATAATTCATCCGAGACGATCGGCAGTAAAGGTGAATGTACTTCCCGATGAAGAGTCGCGAGCCTCCTTCCTTCTGCTTCGAATCGCGGATGGCGGATCATCGCAACGGCATCGAGTCGTTTTCCGGAAGAAGGAACAATCCATCTCGCGTACGACGAGACTTCAATTTGTCACTGTAACAACAAATTTCACGAGTTGCGTGACCACCATTCTCTCTCTCCCTCCCTCCTTCCCTTCCTCTCTCTCTCTCTCTCTCTCTCACTCTCTCTCTCTCTCTCTCTCTCGCGCGCGCGCGAACCTTCCTCGTCGGCGCGACGTCACGTTCGAGCTTCGCTTAACGCGGGCTTAAC